TTGCTTACTATCACCCTTTCTCTTTCTTCTGGTGACCGACTGGATTATGAAGACGTTTACTTCTGGAGGGAAGCGCGGTATCCCATGGACAGCTAGGATGCAGATGGACGATCTGGACTTCGCAGATGACCTGGCTCTTCTGTCGTACGCGCAACAACAAATGCAAGAGAGGACGACCAGTGTTGCAGCAGCTTCTGCAGCAGTAGGTCTCAACATACATAAAGGAAAAAGCAAAATTCTTCGATGCAAGACAACATGCACCAACAAAATCACTCTTGACGGAGATGCCTTGGATGACGTTAACACACTTACATATCTGGGCAGCATCATCGACAACCAAGGTAGATTCGATGCAGATGTGATTGCGCGGATCGGCAAAGCAAAGGCTGCATTTCTACAGTTGAAAAATATCTGGAACTCCAAGCAACTTTCAACCAACACCAAAATCAGGATTTTCAATACAAATGTCAAGACAGTTATACTGTATGGAGCGGAAACATGGAGAACTACGAAAGGCATCATTCAGAAGATACAAGTAATCCTTAACAGTTGTCTATGCAAAATACTTCGTATTCGTTGGCCAGACACCATCAGCAACAACGAACTGTGGGAGAGAACAAGTCAGATTCCAGTGGAGGAGGAAATCAGGAAGAAGCGGTGGAAGTGGAAAGGACTCACTGCGGAAAGCACCCATCTGCCTCACAAGACAAGCTCTCACTTGGAACCCTCAAGGCAAAAGGAAAAGAGGAAGGCCAAGGAACACACTACGCCGAGAAATAGAGAAAGATGTGAGAAGAATGAACAAAAACTGGACAGAACTGGAGAGGGAAGCCCAGGACAGAGTTTGGTGGTGAAAACTGGTGGGCGGCCTTTGCTCCATTGTGGGTAACAGGCGTAAGAAATGAAGAAAATGAATGTTATTGCAGTGAATGCCTCATCAAATGAGAGGTTGTGTACATACGTTAAATACCCTGATAAATTTGTTTTGTGTCGTAAACTTGGTAAGCGCACTTACTGCATAATCTCAATAGTGTCTTTTATATTAGGCGGTTGCTCAAGTTTAGTCTGAATGATTTGTAAGCGACCATGAATATAAAAAAAAACAATATCTAAAACGTCCCATTTATTTAAAGTATTTTTTGAGTCGCTTGGTCAGTAACTAACCTGTGACGTCTAATAATCAGTTACAATATAAACCTTTGCATGAGGTTTGTACTTGTGCATTCATTTTACCGTGCAAACCAAAGCTCAAGCCACTTTTCGTGTTTGTGAATGCCTTTTTTCATTCTTACTGAGTTGGCTCTGAAAAAACTGCTAACTTACAAATCTGCCTAAAAACTGCACTTATCCCAAATGGAGGTACGTATGTGGTTAGGATAAAGAACTGAGCTGATAAAAATGTTCTGAGGAAGGTTTCACTTTCTACGAACTGCTAACTGTTTCTTGGTATGTTTTCCTGTTGTAGCTCACATACAAACTCTCCATCAAAAATCAAATCACAAGAATAGATAACATTTGTCTTTAGTAATCAGTGTATCTGAGATACATGTAAGCAGCAAGAACCTATGATCTGAATTCTGAAACATTTGTAGATGAAGTACTTGAATTAAAGGGATTAAGCAACTCAGCCCTAGATCGAAGTACCTACAGTGCAATTTAGTCATGAATGAACTCATCATACGACTCTGAATTTACCAACTCACATATGTGTATAGACACACGAACCTTTGGAAGAAAATCTGGAAAATGTAATCAGGAGTGCAGCAACATGCTCTCGAATAACTTCAGAATTAGTCACCGTAAAACATTACAATTAATGAGTGAAATAAGTCAGTAGTTCTCCACGGATGAGAACATCAACTTGATACACACTTTTAGTGTTGTATATTTCATTCAAAAACAAAACCGTGGAGTTGTAGAATGACAGATATTCATTTAAAATAAAAAACTGAAACTACAAAAGGAGTGATCTAATAGAGTTATTCCATGTTGGTGTTAGACTAGTGTTATCGTTGTAGCAAAGAGTTGGCGTACTTCTACAAAGCATCTGAATAGATTGCATATACACTATTTTCTACTAGTTTGCGTTGTTTCTGTGAAAACATAACTTTGGTGTAGGAATCTCGTAGATGTTATTAGAATATGTACATCTGATTGAAATGATTAACATTATTGTTTCCAGACTGCAGGCAACCGAAATGAATCGACAAAACTTATAAGTCCATAGTTCAATCTATCACAATTGTTGGACGTACGAAGTATCCAGTTTGTGAAATATTACGAGTAAACATAAGGAGACGACACTATCAGATGATAGAATATTCGGTCACATTGATAAGAATATGAAATGGAGTCGAAAACCAACTAAGTTAGTGAAGAAGTTGAACACATTTTCATGTGGATAGCAGGAAAGGAGAGTGGAAGGATGAGATAGGGTACTGATGAATGGTGGTTCTCAATCTATCATCTAATCATACTGATACTACTATTAACAATGATGATAACAGTAGTGATGATAATTATGGCAGTGACATTTGTTAAATGAATCGTATTCGACATATTCGACAATAGAGTTAATCTGATATTCGTGTACTCAGTTATACTCACACCCATACACAGTAATTAGTAATTATCGAGTTGAATCATGCACGCTACTGTAAATAAATTTGGTGTAGCGAACAAAGGTGGAAACTACTGATCAGTACGTTTATTGACATCATTCACTTAGTAAATCAGTGTTCTTCTGTATCACATGTTAAGCTTATTGTTTACTTTCATTTACTCAAAAGTAGTCAATATATAAATTGGGTCTCATAATTTACGATCAGTAATTATATGTAGTTAACTGTGTACAGACGAACATGAGACGTGCATTCGGTCAACTGTGATTCTACTCTAGATATGTTGATCATGCACTTATTGTCTTTAAAAATGCGAAACAATTCACAGGCTTACTTAGCCTAATGAGCAAAACCAGTAATGAAGTAGGAGTCACTATAGAACATGGAAATAATATTTTGGTGGTTCAAACAATACGTTGTAGCTTCAGTTTTTCATGTGAACAACAATAACGTGATCCAGATAATACCCAACAGTTTAGTTTCAAATCGGATGTAATTCATATCCTGCTCAAATTATGATTACAAATCTTCCATTCTAAACACATGGTTTTTTCCGCATTTTTAACTTAATACGTAGATAAATAATCGCAAAACACCAGTAACGAACTTATTGAAGGTGTCCCTTCAATAAAATCACTGATAAATGGTTCAATATGTTGACTCAATGAAACCACAATATCTGGATTGGAATAAAAACAACAAGACCATGTGGTACAAAGCAAGTGTATTTATTATTCAAAATAATAGTCAAAAAGCAAGTGATGTCTCGAGTTTTTGACAAGTTTGTGTCAGATGTCCTTTAATTTGTCTTTGAGATATTGGTATTTTTACATGAACCAGCCCGTGAATTGCAGGTAATCGTGAGAAAACTTTCATATTATTAGCAATAATAATGCTAACCTGATCACCAGCAACACCTGATGGACCTGCTTCGACTGAAAACAAAATAAGACAAGATTGTTATATCGCAGATATCAATTGTGATAGTGTGAACAGAAAATTATGACTACAGACTATTCTAAATCAACACACAATGTATTGAACCAAATTAAATCACAATATATCACACTGTTAAACATACTAATTCACCAAATTAGTAGTGATGAAAAGTGACCTCGTTGCAGTCAACATGCGTCAGCATCATGTATTGTGATCGAATGGAATCGACCAGCATCGAGAAACATGAGACTTACCTGGTTTCTGACATTCGAACGATACGACCAGTACAAGTATGATGAGCTGAAATGAGAAGACCGATTATGCAAACAATATCACACAACGCAATTGTAACATACAGCGAGAGATCGCATTGTGGTGTGACAAACACAGTTGCATAGTTTTCTATGGAACTAGTAACCGCATCTTTAGACACACTTGTTCACATATGAATTCACCTGTTGAATTCTAATTTCGCATTTGTAGTTTTCCTCAAATTTGTGCTTCATTCCACAAACAACAAGAGAAATCTGAAGTCAAATTAATTGATTTTTCAGACATTATACTAAGTGCGAACAATTTGTCACATATACTATTTGAAAGAACACATCGTGTGTGTCATACTTTCACTTCAATAGCTTTGTTCAATAAGCAATAATCCATCAACAGTTAGAAATCTGTTGAGCCATGTGTGAATTTATGCTCACAACTTGATCGAGGTGTGATCACGTGTGTGTATGTGGAATGGCCAACGTCCACTATAAATACAACCATACAATGAATGCAGTCAACAATCGAGTTAACCACTCATCGGACAACCAAGAAAAACAACAATCCCTTCATCAGAGAAACATCACAATGCGATTCCTCACTGTATGTTACAATTGCGTTATGTGATATTGTTTGCATAATCGGTCTTCTCATTTCAGCTCATCATACTTGTACTGGTCGTATCGTTCGAATGTCAGAATCCAGGTGAGTCTTATGTTTCTCGATGCTGGTCGATTCTAGTTGATTTTATTGTATGAAAGGGATACAAACTGACATAGCCTCAGAAATTCGTAATATATTTGTGGTGGTTTGGTTTAGTGTAGTGTGATGCAGTGTTGTATGTGCATGCAATAGAGGCATAATTTGTTTACAATAATCATACTTTGCTTGACTCTCATATCGATGTCTTTTCGAATTTTCAGTTGTTGCAGGTCCATCTCAAGAAGAACTGATACTCGCCGGTCTCGGAGCTGGTATTGACTTGGCTTCAGCTCAGAGTGGAGATATTCCTGAAGGATCGTCTGAGAAACCTGATCAAAAGTCGAAACCTTAACGCTAGCCTCTCAAAAACAGTCATCACAAAAATGCCCTGACCAATGATGTAGCTCCCAACTTCTCGACCAAATGCACTTACGTTGTTCCCAAAATTTCAGTGTTTTTGTTTACTCCACGAATCGGTTAATAAGTAATTCTCTGTCATTCGGTCACAAGTACATTTCGTCTCCGTCAATCTGCATTCATTAGAGTGACTAATCTGATATCTTGTTTCTCCTGATTGTCGTATAACTTGTGCCAATCAATAAGAAGCTTTAGAAATGTTGTGTCGTACTTGTTAAGGATAATCTACAGCTACCTCTGTGACCTCAATGTGATGAAACTGATACTCGCATCAATCAGGACATATAGCTCCATAGTGTCGTTCTGTTTGTGTCTGACCATCAAACTCAAATATGTGTGCTTTCCATCTGATATAGGTTTTGAGCGGTCATCTCCCTGTAGTTTAACACTTTTCTACAATTTCAACTTATATGAGTTCTCCACAGTAGAACAGCTTGGTTGAGCACATTAAAAAGATGGTTTTGGGATGTCTCATTCTGTGTAGTAGTCGTAGTAGTATTAGTATTAGTATTAGTTTTAGTAGTAGTAGTAGTAGTAGTAGTAGTAGTAGTAGTAGTAGTAGTAGTAGTAGTAGTAGTAGTAGTAGTAGTAGTAGTAGTAGTCAGTCAGTCAGTCAGATGCAACGTAGAACTTCGTACGTAAGTACATCAGTTCATGTTGCCTTACCACATCAGCACAGAGATATAATTGTCAATTCAAATCAAATAGTAGTAGAGGTAGTAATGGAATTAGAAGTAATCGGGGAGGTTAGGATTAGAAGATACTATTCAAGAAGTATGATTCAGTGAGAAAAGTTTAGAGAGTCGAATCTAGAGGGGTTGAAGAATCCAGATGATTAGGATTTGGGAGAACACAGAGAATAAATGCACCGGCGCCATTGAGATCGGTTTTGAGCCATGTCATTCAGGGTATCTAACCATCGATTATTATCATCTCGCGGACCACAACCAGGTAGTCGACAATTACCGACATGGCTCAGTCCACTAGTCAATGACTTTATGGATTTCTGCCATGTGTTGTTTTGGCCGCCCCTACCTTTCTTCCAACCTATTCCGACACTACAAAACAAGGCTCGACGAGGCAGTCGGTGGTTGGGCATACGCAACACATGTCCCAACCACCTCAACTGGTGAAGTTTCAATACTTCATCGATTGATCTGCCATTCTTACCTAGCACCCGATTCCTAATAACAGCGTTGCTCACTCGGGTGTCCCACGATATACGAGCAATGCTTCGAAGACACCTATGATCGAAAACCAGTAACCTACGAATATCTTCTACTCTCACTGGCCATGTTTCACAGCCATAAAGTAATACGGAGCGAACTACTGCGCAGTACACTCGTCCTTTGGTTAGCGAACGGTTATCTCGCCTACGCAATAAGTGACGCAGGTCGGCAAAAGCCAATCGAGCCTTCTGTATCCGAACTGAGATTTCGTCAGTCACCGGGCCATCGGCACTGATGAGACTCCCCAGATAAGTGAAGCGGTCTACACGCTCAACTACTTCACTCCCTATCACTAGTTCAGGTGCCGATGCAACCCAGTCTTGAAGCAACATTTTGCATTTCGAGGGGGAAAACCGCATCCCGAACATGCTTGCATTGTTGCTTAGGGTAGTCAGAAGACTCTGCATTTTGTCAGCGTCTTCACCAAGTAGGACAATGTCATCGGCATATTCTAAGTCAATAAGCGAGCCTCCTGGTAAAAGGTCTACTCCTGAAAATTCAGACGAGGATAAGGTTATTTCTAGCAGCATGTCCATGATAAAATTAAACAAGAATGGAGAGGGTGGACATCCCTGACGGACACCACTTGATGTAGAGAATTCAGATGACAGTTCGCCATAAGCTCTCACTCGACCAGTGGTGTTCGAGTAAAGGGTATGTATAAGGTTAATGTACTTCTTTGATACACCTTTCAATGACAGACACTGCCACAGAGCCTCTCGATCAACAGAGTCGAATGCCGCCTTAAGGTCCAGGAACACAACTATTGTAGGACGCCTAAATGTGTGTCTATGTTCCAGGACCTGTCGTAGTGTGAAGATGTGGTCTATACAACCACGTCCAGGTCGAAAACCAGACTGGTTTTCTCGAGTCTGCTCTTCACGAGCTTTCGTTAGGCGTCGAAGTATGATTGAGGCCAGTATTTTAGAAGCTATATTAGTTAGACTTATTTCCCTGTGATTGTCACAAGAAGACTTTTGTCCTTTCTTATAGATTGGGACAATCAAGGATTGAGACCAGTCGGATGGGATTGCGTCCAGTTCCCAGATTCTACCTAAGATCTCAGTCAATCTAGCTGCTAAAACTGGACCACCATCCTTAACTATCTCAGGGGTCAGTCTATCAGGACCTGCAGCTCGTCCTCGCTTCAGATTTCCTAACGCTTTCTCAACGTCATTAAGACTAGGGGGACTTAGGTCGATTTGCCATTCAGATTGACTGGAGATCGTGGGTAACAGAAGAGTGGCTCGTGGCCAGTTGAACTAATCCCTAAAGTGTTCTGCCCATCGATCCAGTCTCCTGGATTGAGAATGGATAATAAGACCATCCTTTTCCGAGATAGTCTCACTCACATTCGGGTTCTTAATACCAGTTTCTTTAATAAGGCGGAAAAGTTGTCTACTGTTGCCTGTCGCCGCTGCCTTTTCCATCGCTTTTGCTTTCGCCACCCACCACTGTTCGCGGTCGTTACGCAGACTTTTTATAAGTCTGCGCCTAAGCTGACTACGCTCTTCATCATGCTCAGAGTCAGGTGGGATGCGTTTTCGAGTATCCATCAGTTCGGTGGATGCGACTGAAATCCACGGCTTCATCCTAGCCTTATGGTTTAACTTACTAGTAGATATCACTGCCCTTTTGATATCATACCAACCTGCTTCTGGATAGGAATCGCTTGCATGGTTGCTTAACTCTGTTTCTAGTTGCTCCTGAAAAATTTTCTTGGGTTGATTATCAGTCGCTACACCATAACATCCACCTAGATGTCTTTCATTTTCACTCAGTCTACCTACTTGAGCATTGAAGTCACCAGCCATTATTACTATATCATAGTGCCTAGCTTTTTGGAGGAGGTCCGAAAGCTTTCTGTAAAACTCATCTTTCACCTCGTCTCACCTGCATTCAGTGGGGGCATAGGCAGATACGATGAAGAGGCAACGGCGAGTTTCCCTATCCTTCCGATTCCTTACTGTCCCGTTTAGTCGGACAGCGCACAAACGACTATCTACTGGGATCCAGTCTAGGAGAGATAATTCTGCCCTAGGACTAAACGCAATACCTACGCCAGCAAGACCCTTGGAAGCAGCATCAGGGCTACCGGATACACGAATCGAGCTGCTTCTTTATTTTGACAAGGTGAAATCAGAATAATGACTTTGCTAGGATCCTGTATGCGCGTTTTCGAGACGCAGCATACATCGATGGCTCGAGTTTTAAAGTCCTAGCTAATGATGCCTGTTGCCCTATTTGACACAATGTCCATACATTAAATGCTCCAACATGTAGTCTAGAACGGGGTTTCAAGAGACCAGGAACGACGTTTCGTGATCTCGCTTCGTCCGCATTAGCGGTGCAGTGAGAAAAGGGAGTGTGAGTAGAGTTAGTCGTAGAGATAAGAGAGACATTAGGGGGTGTAGGAAGGATTTGATTTTGACCAATTTAGTCTCGCGTGCTGTTACGGGTATGAGGGCGGTTGTCACTTCCCGGCTGCCCACACCGTGGAAGGTTGTTTCTTGAGGAACCTGAAAAGGAAGATAGATTAGTGTTGGTGCGTGACCGCAGAGTCCAAGGGACAACTGCTTGAGGCCGGTCACGCACGGCCTTTTTATCAAATGTTTTTTGAGGATTAGCTCCGTTCTTAAAGGCCCTTAGTGGGCACCCTTACCCAAGGAGACGGAAATCCGTGAGTTAGGGGAGGTGTGACATTTTTAGGGCCGACCTTTTCTAACCCTTCCTTCCTTGTGAGAAGGCAGCATCGCTGCAGATGCTGGTTGTCCGAGGGAAACACCTTACTGCTGTCACATCCCTCTGCAGTCAGCAGTACGACTTCGCCCTCAGACCTTGGGTAGCTGCTTTTATTCTCATCGTTCTCCAATTGACCTGCCTGG